GTACGGACTGTCACAACAACCCGTAGACGATGATAATAATAATATTATGATTATAATGCTATTGTCGTCTATATATTATATACCTACCACCCGCCGCGGTATAAATTGTAATTCCGTATCGTATATCGCGACTAAAATCCGTCTGTCTGTCCTTCGTCTCTAATTCTCTACAGGCCTATTTTACATTAGTCCTGTCGACGACTCGACGACGTTTTGCCGCTATAAACAACCGCGCCCCGCTTGTCATCCGCGCGGTCCAATCCGGACCGCGATAATATTCTGGAACGAGGACGATATAACGACGAAACTACATTTCCCCGCGAGGACGTAACAATAATATTATTTCGTATAACCCGCGGTGAGTGTTCGTCGCAGCGATCACGACGGCGCAACTAAAAATATATTAATATCGTCGTCGTATTGCACACCGTATTGTACCTACAGAGATGTGAGTTTGAAAGTTAATTTTTTTTTTTTTCATTGAAGTTTTCTGAAAATTCTAGTTTTAATGTAATTGTTTAAACACGATTAATTTTTATTGTTGTTCGGTCGGTATCTCTGCATCACAGCCATTTATATTGTTGATTGTCAATGCTTAAATCTATTATAAATGTTATTGAGTACGTAATAACAATGGTTATGTAGGTACTGTAATGAATTCATGACTGTTATCGTTATGAGATATGAGTGTTTTGACTATTGATAATTTTTACATTCGACAGTGGTTAAAAATTAAAAAATGTTCTATTTCGTTTCACGCGTTATGGAGCCGAGTTTAACAAGAAAACACTTTATGTCTGTAATTACTGCAAATGGAAAGGTGTAATTAATGTACCCAGAATGTATAATCTTGTTAGTATTATTTTTATAAATTTGTTATAAAGTTAAATGTTTATTAATTAAATATGGATTAAACGGCTGTGAATATTAATTAAAATTAATATGCATAGGTGCCTAAATGTTAAATAAAACATATTTATCAATTATAATTTATAATTAGTTGTGACTTGTGGTCTTGTGTTAAAACTAGATACACTGTAATTAGTAATAACTAATAACTACTTATAAAAAGTAGTTAATCTTGGTCGTCGCTGTATGGAGTCGCCTGTACCACCCATGGTCGTCTTAAGAACTCACGTCTATTCATTTTTGATTTAATCTATCTACGGTTGTTCAAAGCAATTCAAATG